CACACACACACACACACTATAAGTGCTGTGTGTAGCATTTTGTTTCATTGCACCCATTTTTGTTGCTTCCAGCCATCTCCGCAATGGTCTCACCAGTCTGAATACACGGTTTGAAGATATTGAAACATTATAAATACTGTGATGTACTGGTGTTTAAAAATGCCACACACATCACCGTTCCCTCCCTCTTTACACTTGGACTATCCCACTATCCCCTTGTTTGTCGTCACCCGATGTGTCTTCCACTTATAAAACCACCAGCATGATGAGGATACGTAGAACGCAAAGAATGCTGGGAAATCATACAAGAAAGCGATGAAGAAGAATCCAGCAACTAAGAGGCCGCAGATTAGAAGTCTGGTGATATGACTTAGGATGTATAACATACTCCACCATACGAGACTATTGGATTCTTCCAATTTCTCAGAAGAGGAACTGAGATGTTTGTGAGTTGGTTGATCTGATCGATTAAACCTCCCTTTGTGGGCGACTACACACTCTTCTATTTGTCTATCTGTGTCCTGACGGGTGACTGATCTGTCTTTTATTTGAGTGTAGTTTTCCTGATCCTTTGGAGAGCTTTGGGCTGATTCAGTCAATGACTGCCTACTCTGTGCAGCTAAAACAGGGGTGAGATCTTGACAGAGATGAACACTTGAATTCAAATCTATCTGTGATTCTGAGAGCAAGTGAGTTTGTTCTGCTGTGGTGAGTGACTGACTTCTCTCTGCTGTGGAGTAGTCATTGCTTTTAGTCACTATGGTTTGCTCTAGGCCTTGACAGAGACTTGAACTTGAATCTGGTGGTAATTCTGTCAAGGAAAATACACCTGAATCAAAAGCGTCATTGGCGTGTTCCTCGAAAAGAAGATGGCAATCTTGTGTAATATCAGGTATATCTGCTAGCTTGCCCCCCATTCCATCAACAATATTTGTGTCTCTATTAGAGGCTTTCAGATCAAACACCTCTTCCCAAATCCCCCTGACCAAATCTTCTCCAAATCTTTCTATGAACCTCTCCTCCAATCCCGACTCTATCACTTCAAGTGCTACAGTGCTTTCCGCTGTAATAGGGTCTTTTGTTCCCTCTGACAATTTTCTATATTGAACACGTGGAGAGCTCTCAACTTCTGCTGACAACTCTTGTTCTTTCAATTCAGCTGGTGCATTCTTCCTCTCCCCCTGAGGGATCTCCACATTACCCATCAACTCCCCCAGAGCTTCTATTTTCAGCTTTCCAATACTCACCCTCTCATCTTTGTCTCTCTGACTCATATCTTCCTCTATTCTTTCTAATATTTCAGGTTGGTGTTGAAGTTCTCTTGAAGTGTCTTCCTTTACGATGTTCTCTTTCGCCGTAACTTCTTCTGGGCCTTTTTCACGGCCTACGTCCTCTTTCTGACCCTTCATATCATCCTGTGAATGAGTCCATCTCATTTCGATTACCTCCACTGGGTCTGGGTTGCATTTATCTATTGAAAAAGGTCTGGATATATCCTTGTCATTTTGGAAGACATTTTTCATTTCCCTTGATTCCACTGTGTGTCTTGTCTGTGCTGATGGGTTTATTTCCTGTTGCTCATCAATTATTCCATCATAACTCAAGCTTTTTCCTTCCTCTGTCTGATTTGAGATTAATACATGTTCCTCTGTTTCATATTTTGGTACATTTTCCTGTATTTGTGTCAGTTTTGAGTCCTCATCCTCTTTCTGAATGCGCAGCTCTTCCCCTGCTTGGACTGGCCTTGACTGTTTATCAGGTACTTCTGAAATTACTGATGTGTTATCCCTCTGCCATGACGAATTCAGTTTTAAAGCTCTGTCATTATGTTGCCATGCTTCCTTATTTAATACTTGGATAATTTCCGCTTCTGTACCAATTAGTCTCTTTTTTTCTTCGCTTGTTGTATAATGGGAAGGTTCCACCTCTGTCTTTCTGAATACTTCGTCTTTTTTACTTGATGTAACACCTTCGTTCTCTGATTCCTCCAGTTTGAATTCCCTTGCCATTATTTGGCTTTGCTTGAAATTGTCCTCACAGGTTTGGTTTGGATTTAATTCATCTGCATGTGATTTTGCAGGGCTTACTTCATTTTCATCGCTCTCATTCCCCTGTATTGGTTTTTTACTGTTTCGTTTCAGCCTGAATTCCTCACCTTGCTTTTCGTCTGCATACCTCTGGGAGATTTCACACACTTCTGTTTTCTGTGGCCTAAATATCTCCTCTTCTGTAGATATTTTATTTTTTGTACAGTTATTCATGATGCCTTCATCCACTCTTTGTCTGGATGTGGAAAAGACAAACCTCTCACCATCCTTTGTCCCCTGTCTGATTGTCCCCTTAAATGCCAGCGTGTCATTCGTCGCATTGTGTGCGGTACCTGTAACCTGCCCTTCCCTCTTGGAAGAAAGACCCTCATCCAGCCTTGCTCCCTGTGAGATCCTATCAACAGTGCTGGCATTCGGGGACTCTGGCGTTACTGTCATGTCTGTTATCTCCGACTCCCCTGAGCTTGTTACTAAGTCAGCTGTGTGTGGTGTGAAGGGCTCATCTCCTTCTTTTCCTTCTGCTCCTGCTATTATTCCTTGTCTTTCTTGCTCCCACATCGCATTCTTGTGACACTCGGTTGAACTGTCAACAGAGCCCTCGGACACAGGCATTGCCCCCTTGAGGCTAAATTCCTGCAGAGTGTCTGTTACGGAGTTTGTCTGTGACCTTTGGGAGGCATCTTGTGTCGCTGTGTTGTCATCTCTTGGGCGGCTGACACATGCCTCTGCTGGCTGTTGGTCTTCAGTTTTCGAGGCAGCATTAGCCACCAATGTCTCACGAGTGTCTGACAGCAGCTGACATGCAGCTGAGGTGTGCACATGTAAGGTGGTGGGTGTATCCCTGCCCACCTGAAATTCATGCTCCTGACTGCTTGCTGCATATTGGTTTTTGGGCTCTTTGTCATTTGAGGGAGACACCGACGCTGCTGTCTGCAGCCATTCTGACTCTGGAACACCAGAATGGTCCGTACAGCTCGGCCCATTAAGAAATGTCTGCCATACATCGCATACTGAGGTTTCTTTATCAGTTTTATCATCTGTACCGTTACGAAAGGTCTCCCACATATCATTAACAGAAGGTGTATCTTCTATATTTACCGCTGACGATTTTGACAAGGTCATTTTAGCTCTCCCGGTCCAGATGTCATCCATGTGAGCAGTCCCCCACTGATGGGTTTTGTCACTGTTCCAGTCCAGTGTAAGCAGAGGAATCTGGTGGTAGGTGAGCACCTGTGGACTCTCGTTGGATTGTTTCTTTTGGCGTTTATGGAGAAAGCTGGTAGAGTCGCCAAACGGAGTTGGCAAAGGCTGGGAAACTTTCTGGACATTGGCTGAGTCATGTGAATAACCCTTTGGCACTTGCTGCTTCCTTTGGGAAAAGTGGTCCTGCACACGTGCCAAACGTGCTGCTCTGTGTCTAGTTTTTATGCTATCCACCTGTCAAAAAGGCCAAAGGTCAAAGGTCAAGCCAAGTGTTAATGTGTGAACTACTTTAACTATCCCAGAGGCTACCAGCACAATGTTTTTTTTTTACTCTTTAAGGTCATTAACTACTTCTACTACCTCCGTGATGACGAAAAATTATTGTAATGGCCCTTTCATTGGACATTCTTGAACATTCTTGTAACATTACTGTGATGATGCAATGCATTGCAACACTGCTGCAACCTGAGCACATAAGCCTATTTTTGTTTACATCATCAAATTTACTGCATGTTTACAAGCAGGTTGCATTCATTATTAATAGTTTGCACACAAGTGGTTTCAGACATGCTCTCAAGTGTCAGGTTAGCTGACTTTCCATATCCTTTGGGGACCCACTGAGAACTGTGCAGTATGACATGCATCTCTGGCTCAGCTATCACATCTTTGCAAAAAGAACACACACTTTCTCACCTCCTGTACAGTTTATATCTGCAGCTGGAGACAAATAAATATGGTGTTTGTTTTGACCAGCATTGATTGTGAGTTCTTTTTGTTCCAAGCAGTGTTTACTTCTGGTTGTTGGTGTTTTATTTTTTTCTTAAAGAAAGAGTCTGTTAGTCCAACAGATAATAAATGAGCCTTACCAAAGGTTTTTGTTCTTTATGGTATAGTAATGATTGTATCTCTGCACTGTCCATTGTCATTCTGTCAGCCTCCTCTGCTTTATCTGTGGCCTCTGCTTCTGAAAGAAAGAAAGACAAACATAGGGATCAAAGTTTGCTTGCATACTTATACACACACACTTAAACAAACACATGCATTCATATACACATATGCATGTATACACACCTGTAGTAACTGTTGATGCGTTAATGGTCTCCCTGGTCTTTTCTTCTGCACTTCCCCTTCTGTGGTTCAAAATAAAGTAGGAATGACAAACATAAGCTCACAGGTTCCAGTGTTTATTTTTCAGCTTTTTATATTATGTTGTATTTTGAGGTGTTTCATTCCAAAATGCTGAATTTGTTTCAGTAACTATTTGACAAAATGTTTCAAATATTTGAACAAGGGGTATCCAATTTTAGAGTGAAACTCCATTGTTTCCCTGTTTGGCTGTATTGTCTTCTGTTAGGAGGGTTAGAGTTAGTCTAAAGTTAAGTGTTACCTTGACTAATGTTTATTGAACTGGTCTGAGTTTTCAGGCATCCTTAATACTTTTTATACTGTTGTTTGTCTTCATCTCAGCTGTACTGTACGTGCACCAGTACCAGCCCTGCTATGATCATGATACACAGCAAGAGGGGTACACACAAAATAGCTGTGATCCTTGTTTCTATGCAGAGAGCATATACTTTTCTAGCAGCCTTTGATACACAATTTAAATATTTCTCTTTTTTTTTTTTAATGTTTGTAATGTGTTTGTCTGCTGTATTATCACATTCCATGCAAACATACATAATAAGGAACTTTTATTCCTAAAGCAGGAAAAAGGTTGTGAATTGGTGTCAAAGAGGAGGTGTTAAAGTAAGCATATCAGGCTTCCCTTGCCATGTTGAGACGTCATGGAAACCTGGACAGACACCTGACCTTAAATGGGCAATAAGTGTTCTACAGTCCAAACATCCAGTACTGAGTAGTTATATAACAGTTTACTGTAAACACGCAATGGCCCGACCATCCGGCAACATTAGCTTGTGCTTCCACCTAATGAGAGGAGCACCACAGTTTCAACAGACTCACACTGTGTCAGATTTCCACTTTATCTCAATATTGATTATTTTGTATTGACATCTTTTGTGGACGTAGAAGGGTGGTGTGACTTCCTCCAGCAGAGGCACGTTTAAAAAAAGATTCAGAATCAGATTCTCTCACCTGTTAGCTTTGAGACAGCTCCTCTTGCTCTTGGAGCTGATACTCTCCTCTTGCACTTGAGGCCCACTTACATGTCCCTTCTGGTGGCAGAACAGCACGTAGTTCATTTCCTTGTTGTTACCCCAAAAAGTGCCCACTGAAGTCTCATAACGCAGACAGATGTCCAGTCTGGTCCCGTCCCTCTCAAAGGGAGGAACCAGGGTATACTTAAAGGTAAACCTGTCGGTTTTCCTATCACTGGATCCAGGCACATACTCTGCCAACAGGTCAAAGTAACTCGTCCAGCGATCCAGGCTCATCCGGGCGTAAACAGACTTGCTGTAGCAGAGGTTGACCACCCTGATGATGCCACGGAGGGTGGTGGTTCCAGGAAGGAGCTCGATGCTTTCCAGCTCAACCATCTGTGCTTGTAGTCTCTGGTCCAGCTCCTCTGGGGACGAGGGGACTGTAAACAGACAGGACATGTAGTACTCCTCCAAGGGACGGGTCACCTCGCTCTCAGGGGGCTGGCTGACTTCTGTCTCCGTCACCTCAACGTTGTCAAACTCCTTAACTGACACCAGGTTGAGGCCAAACGCATCGGCGAATGACACCTTCCTCCGAATGACCGGCGGGGGCTCTGGTTCAGAGTCTTCATCTGTTTCCTCATCCGTGGAGGAACCCGTAGGAGATGAGGCCTCCATTCCTCCTTCCTGCACCCCACATTTTTCCTGTTCCCCCTCCTTCATCATTACCCCATCCTCTTCCAAGGGTTGAATGTACATGGCCTCCATAATGTGCAATGGTCTGAGAGGCAGCTGTCTGCCCGTCCTGCTGTCTGTCTGGCTTGGAGGGTGGCACAGACCAGAGTGCCCCTAGCCTGGCTGCAGTGATACTGTAGAAGGGAGAGCACGAGAGAGGACGTGACTTGACAGATGGAGTTCGGTTACAGCTGAACATTGTGAGTCTGAGCCAGGCCCTATTAATAGGACACATATAACTAGAACAGGACAGGCCAGTTATCCTCTCAGTTATCCCTGCACAATATGTTTGCTAGTTACAAAATAAATAAATGAAATTATAGCTTTTAGAAAACCCCTTAAAGTAAAACTAGCACACAAACAGGCCCATATTTGAAGTATTTTAACTATTTTTGTATATTTTGCTCCTTCAAATGTGAAAATATTCTCCAATCCAAACTAACCGTTTGCATTTTAACCGTACTATGCTGGATGTGAATTTAGATTTGAGTGTAATAGTATGATACAGTGTCTTCTGGTCAGCACGGTGGCCAGATGATAACAGAGACTGTTGTGTAACCATGTGGTTGCATGTTCAAAACTTTGTGAAGGCCATGTACTTAATACCCATATATTGTATCCCTGCTTTCTCTTTTACACTGTGAATGTGTTTTCTTTCCTGATTGCACATCATTTCATTTCAGTATGACCTAATCTATGTATGTAAATAAACAGCTGGACAGCTTTAAGCCAGATGGATGCAGTGCTTCTGTCAGGATTAGCCTTATTCGTTAGCTTGAACGATACTTTATTGCTTTTATTTGCCTGTTTTACCATGTCTTTGTTTTGTTTGTACAAAATGGCCTACCTACATAATGTACTGTATAATTACTTATATGGATACATACCATAGTTATTTACTTCCCTGGTTACTTTGTCTGACACCCCCTAGTTTTCCTATTCACCATTTATCATGTCTGCTAATGGGGATGTGGCTGTGTTTTATACAGGGGTAGCAAAAAACAGTTCAACCACGCACACCCACAATGCTTACCTTTTTAAATGGATTTTTCTTCTGGACTTTGTGCATTAAAATCATACCCACTATGTTGGTAAGTGGCTCTGGAAAGTTTATGCCACTACACTGGATACTGAATAAAAATACAGCAGTCATTCTTACCTGATGTGTGCAGGGTTTGGAAATATTTGCATTTCACATTCCCACAAACTATTAATTGTTGAAAGACGCACATCTATTTTTTTTAAATATAAAGTATATAAAAAGATGTTTTCTGTCAACTCAACTAGCTGTATGGATGGCAGTGTCAGCTGTCGATCATTCAGTCACTTGGTCCTCCACTGTGCTCCAGATTGAAATATCTTAACAACTGTTGGATGGATGGATTGCCATTCAATTCTGTGCAGACATTGATATCTGAATTATAGCTTTTTCTCACTTGCTAAGACACGCTTAATGGAACTGGGCTCCACTTGATCTTCATCATCACCTTCTTAGCGCAGCAAAAGTCTCCTCTTCCAAATGTGTGAACACTTTTTCATTGCTTTCACACTTTCCAAACAGTTAACGCAGATCTCATAGAAATACTAAAAACTCAATTGGTTTAACTGTTAAAAGAAAACAGCTATTCACAGCTGATAGAAATTACTTGCATAATTAGGAATCTTTAATGCACCTGTGTGAAACTCCTGCAACCTGCAAAACTAATTACATTCCCTTCATACCTAACTTTGTCTTTAATGTTAATTAGAAAAATGTTTGCATGCTAACATGCAAAACTAAGATGGTGATCATGGTAACTGTCAGCATTTCCCTTTCGTCATTGTGAGCATGTTGACATGCTTATGTTAGCATGTAGTTGTATATAGTACAGTTCAGACTCATAGATAGTATAACTGTTTTCTCTTCAGTTATTGATTTTACAATGTTAACTATTAGCAACTGACTTGTAGGATGCTGCAGTGCGTAGAGCCACAGTTTACTTGTGTCTGCTAAGGGACCCCAAGACAATGTCACCTTACCTGCAGCAGGTCTGGAGCTGATTCTGACCTCCATGTGCAGACTGCAAAAAAACAACCAAAAAGAGATAATTTCCCCATTCAAATCAATAATGTCTCAAAGGATTACTAGTTCTGTCACTGCTTGAAAGGCCTCTGTGTTAAGCAAGTGTTGGCGTCTGGATTGAGTATCTACAGATCCTCCTATCATTACATTGGAAGCAGCCTTTATTTTTAAGGTTCACTGCATCTCGGAACAGGAGATTGAAGATTATTCTGTTCTTTGTAACACTGAGTTTGTGTGTGCCACTGTCTCGGATAGGAAGTTCAACTAATCCTTGATATTCAGTGTAACTATACCCCAAAATCCAGTAGATCTTGTAAATAAACTTTAGTGCTGGTTATACAATCCTTCACAGGTAGGTGAGTGGGTTTTTGTCCTCAAAGGACCTTTTGTTCTAGGTTTTGAAGCCAAAGAGGTTCTCTTTTCACTTTTTAATTGCAGTTTTGGTCTTTAAATAGTATCAGAGTTTCTCATTTGCAACTATTTTAAAGGCAGATATATACAAGTGAAGGAATGAATTGTTAAATAGCAGAATTTATCATACTGTCAACACCAAATGCATCCAGTCTGGAAGAATGTAATAATTAAAGCAAAAATAATTTAGCAGCTATCATTCACACACACTTTTTAGTTATTCTCTTATTAAGTGTTACTCTATTCACATTTAGAAAGGACATGGACAAAATATTGGGAACAACTTACACAACAAACTGCTGAGCAGAAGAAAGAGATGAATCAGCACCTCTTTAATAGTCTTAATAGTATTATGTCTGCCTTTTGAATTTATCAAGACGACTTGTATGTCTGATGTATATCAGTAGATGGCACTATGTGATCAGAGTGAAATACGAGACAGATTAATCCACACCTAAGCCAAATAAATTAGCATTTTCAGTTTGCACCTCTTTTGTGATAATGCATCCCAAGTGTGCAGATAGTGTTAGAGAAAAATATTCAGTATAGAGGAAGAGGGGAAATAAGAAAACTTACCAAGTGTTACATCTAGTCCATTGTCTTATGTGTTACCATGGACAGACTGTTATTAGAATTGACCAGTAGGTGGCAGCATACCACCACAATTCCGTGATACTTGTTTTCCCTTCCCATCCTCATCACTTCCCAGATGCTGTTTGCTTCTACTTATATTTGTTAGGTTTTTTAATAGCAATTAGGAACACACACACAAAACTCAGAAAGCTAATAGACCAATATGACTGCATGGTAAGCAATGTGATGTCTGGTTAATATTTTCAACTGGGACAATACTTGTTTTTTTATCACATCAAATATATATATATTTTTTTATAAAGCTAGGCCAATTTTAGGACATTTTGGGTGTACTGTGTGACACCGGTGCAGGATATTCTAGGATATATGTCTGTGCACCAATGTGGTGTAATAGTTTTACAAGTAGTGCTTTCCCCCATAATATTTATATGTACAATAATAACTAAAAAGAAGATTTCGAGTATTTAGTTTTTAGTCAATAAAAAAAAAATCTATGCTTTATTAAGGCAATTTAAATTCTCACTGGCATACGCAGTAATGACACACCGGCTGCAAGCTGTGATTCTTTCATTAAAAAAATACATATAAGCCTCTTAATGCATGCACAAATCACATTTCTCACAATTAGTCATTCGTGATATAAATAACATATAAAATAAAGCATTTTTAAAACGCTGACAGCAGATAGCATGAGACAAGATAGGACTTCTCGCGTGTCTTACATGTTTAAAAACTTGCCCCCCCCCCAACCCTTTCTTTTCTTCAGTTGATAATAATCTGGTCATTCATTTCTTGACCGTGAACGTCTCAGCGGTTTGAAAAAAAAAAAAGAAAAGAAAAGAAAGACGAGACAGAATAAAACAAACCATTTTAACTCCTGCTCAATGTACGACTGGCTTCGGATCTACTTTTAAATGAATAAACAGGTTAAATTACCCTGTGAAGGTATGACAGAATGGGTAAGAAAAATTCCTTCAGTCAAACAGTGAATCTTACTGTATCTTCTTTTCTGCTAATAAAGTATTTATTTAGAAGTTATTTTATTTGCGGATTTTTAGAATTTAAACGCATAATTGCGCATTGCTAAAATAAAAACATTAATAATGTGTACGGTATTTACATTTATAGGCTACCCATCATTTCACTGTACGCACACATTTCCAGACGACTATTAATAAGTCTATTTCTCTCTGCAAACTGATTATTAAATGAGGTGCTTGTAAAATGTATTTAAACTTTAAAGCTCATTTAAAATGTGTGGCTATAACTGATACTGAACGTGCAGTTTACACGCCGGTGTATTTACGGTGTATTTTGTTGCCTGGTGATGATATTTACAGATACACAAATGTTGTCTTTAATTTGGCACCCATGTCATTTCTCCGCTTTAATGAATTGGCTGTATATTCCCTTCACACGGCGTAGTTTACAACACAAATATCACAGGAAGAACACAACTTCTAATCAGAATGTCTTAAAGATTAATAAGGGGGAAATAGCGTTTGGTGCCGGTCACTGTGTGGTCGGTATGGAGTGGGATAACCACGGGGAAAAGTAGGAGTTCTTGTTGGAATATTACAGGAACATTATCGGAATATATATTGTTGTTTTTTTATTTGTTTTGTTTTTTTGAATTAGCAACTAGTTCCCACTCGCGGATGTATTTGCAATAAAGTGACTTCTTGGTGATCTCCATCGCAACGGGCGCACTTATCTTTGGGTCGGAGGGACCGTCCCGTTACCGGAGGGGTTCACCGGTTCAGTCAACAACAACGTGTGACCGTGGTGGAAGCTTTCCTTAACACAAGACGCCGAACCCTCTCACACGAGCGGCCGCTGTTAAGAGAAAACACCGGACTGTTTTGCGGAGGAAAAAATTCAAAAATAAAATAAGAGGAAACAAACTTTAAAAAAAAAAAAAAAAAAAACACTTTTTGTTTAGCAGGTGGCCCTGACGTCACACGGGGTCGCAGTACGCCCAAAAATAACAACACCACCTCCGCGCACAAGCAAGTGCCTCCCCTGGGGGGGTTTCTAGTCCCAAATATACTTGCTTGCTGGGATACAGCTTGATGTGTGTTTGAATCGTAACGAAAAAAAAAAACAAGCCGCGTCTTTCCTCGCATTGCGCGTCATTCAAACAGGACTCAGTGTACTGCTTTTCCCTCTGTTGCATTAGTAATAACAGCGGCGTTGACGGGAGACAGCAGGAGAGAGTGTGTGTGTGTCTCCGACAGTGGTGCCCAGCGGAGGAATATTTAAGCTTTTTTTATTTACTCTGCAGCTTGTTGTTCATTTTCTCTGCGTTATGGTGAACTTGGACAGTCACGTGTGAAGATCTCTGCGAGTATAGAGGACGACGACTTCTCACCTGGTGTGTCCCTTTGACTTTTACCGTGAGGGGAAATATACCTGCCATTTTTTTGTGGTAAGTTTTTCTGCCCAAGAGCTTATTTCTCTCTCCGCACTCTTTGACTTTTCTCTCTCCCCCTCCTCGCTGCTCTTGTCCAGTGCTCCTGAGTTAGGAAGTGGTCCGCCGGACACAAGTTTTGTCCTGCGTTATCTCGCGCTTTGAGACTTGCAAAACATTATTATTTCCACGTTGCGCGTGGACTTGCCCCGTGCTTTTTAATTACCGAGCAGCTGTTAACGTATTTCACCTCAGCACGGTGTTCGGCTTTTTTCATGTGAGGACCTTCAGACAGCACTGCCCGGCACTTTGCCTGGTCTGAACGCTGACTTTTGAAAAGCCGACTTATTGTTTCCTACCTGCATATTGTTTCAGCCGCTAATTCAATTTAAAAATGCTGCCCGCGAAATGGAGCCTAAAAACAAATTTAAATTGACCACATAGTGATACATGACATATTTGAAAACTAATTTGAAAGCGTATTCTGTTCATAAATGTACTGTACCCTTGTTAGATTTTGATTTAATCTATAGGCGTCTTTAACAACATATAATGTTAGATTATATCTGCGTTAATGTCATTGGAAATTATTTGACTATTTACACTATCTAATAATGTTTGCTGTAATTAATTGGTCGTTGCTTTTCATACATGTAAAAAGTAAATGAATTATGTGCAACACAAATTATTATGTGTATATCACATATTAAATCTATATGCCAACTTAATTTTCTCATTTGTCAAATATGCAAGGATTAGTAGTCTTTAAAATTCCTTTAGTGTTGTAGACATATTATTATCACCTGTGACACAAGGGTTGCATATAGTTTTAGAAGCTTTTTTCCCCCCCAAATCAGTGCCCATGTTTTTAAAATACCGTTGTCACAGTTTCTTAAGCTCAATGCCTGAAGACTAGAAAATAAAAATGCAACCAGATTTAAAGCATAGGCTGTAAATGGAATTACCAATGCTTTATCTGCATACTCAGTATCTATGATTATCAGTCAACACCTTACCGTGCTTGCTTGCTCCATTTTTTTTTATTTTTTATATATATTCCATATTTTTTCCTTGTCCAGAAACAAACAGGGATGCTGGTAGCATGTCAGTTTTCCTAACGATTGACCTCAGATTCTCACTGATTAAACTAAACAGCTCATTAAAAGGCTTCTGCTGAGTTCCTCTATTTCACTTCTCTGTATCATGCCACTGTTCTCTTGCAATCACCGTGGCCTCAAAAATCAATAGATGTAACTTTTTCTGGGGGGGGGGGGGGAAANNGGGGGGGGGGGGTAAAGAGAGGCTAACGAGGTAGTGGGAGCTGCTGAACTCTTCGGGGCCTGTCCTCTGATCAGCTTTCACCCCTGGATCAGCTGGATCGACCCTCCTTGTTCAAGCCGCAGGGTGCACAGGTGTTCCCTCCACAGTTATGCAGGTGTGGGCCAGTTCCCCCTCTCACTCAGCAGCTCTCACTCTTCAAAGGGCCAGGCGGCAATAAATGCCCCTTGTGAAATATGTCAGCCACAGTGCACAATCAGCCCCTTTGTTGAGGTTCCCCCCTGTAATCATTTTGCGAAAGCATGTTTAAAACAGTCCGGAGTTGTTGTTTACTTGGTGTGTGTTTACAAGGTCACTTCATTTTCTGTAAAACGGGATGCTTTCTCTTTCCTGAGGCAAAGGGAGAGATGGGGAGAAACTTGCCATTCGTCTCCCTCCAAGACTGACCGTTGTTGGGAGCGGTGCACTTATTACCCCGACTCTCCCCACTCTACGTCCGTTTTTTGATTGCTGCATTTATCATCGGGCGGCCGTGCTCTACATTATGGTAATAGGAAAATGAATGTCCTCCACAGGATTAATGTGTATACCCTGTCATACGTTTCAATCATTTATCAAAATTAAGATTCAGCTTTCAGCTCAGTGAACACCGGTTGATGCATGATTTTATCTCAGATATGGAAATTGTTGCTTCCAGCTGAGCTGAAGTAGAAAGTGCTGTGCAATTTATTTGTAATTCTGAGAGTCCTGTGAAAACTTTGTGTGCATTTTGCTGTGAATGCCGAAGCTGCTCACGCTGACGATACAGGCTAAATGCAAAATGACAAATTTACAGCCAGAATCCAGACAGTGGGTTTTATGCACAGATCACATCAATTCTGTTTTGAGTCAGGCTACTTCTTAGGCAATGAAACACTTGCTCACTTTTGGATTAGCTTTTGAATTGCACCATCACCCATCCCCCAACACCTCTGTAATGAAACAGACTGCTCGCTCAACCCTTGAGGTGTTGCTGCATATTNNTTGGGGGGGGGGGGGAGACGGGTAAGAAAATCAGGGGAGTGGTGCACCAGCTTCACTTTTCTAAACATCTTACTGAGCTCATCCACATTAACGTACCCAGTGTGTTTTCACATGTAGCTAACTTGGCCCTGTTACCTAGCGTAAAGGCAATTAAATGGCAAATGTTCAGGTTTTTATCCCTGCTAACTTCATAGAAATGTTTCCATGACAACCTCCATGCAAGTTAAAGCAACCAGAAGTGATCAAGTCCTTTTTTTCCCCCCCTCCTCCCCTCCCACTTTGGTTCCCTCCCCCCACCTCCCCCCCCCCC